GGCCCCCGGCCCTGCTCTGCGCCCGCCCCAGCTCGGTGCCCTTGGCGGGGGCAGCGGCCATGGCGCCCTGGCCCGCCATGCCCCTCCTCATCAACCTCGGCGGGTCGCTGCTGGGCTTCGCAGCCACGCTCACGCTGATCCCGGCCTTCAAGGACCATTTCCTCGCCGCGCGGCTCTTCGGCGAGGACCTCAACAAGGCCTCGCGGCGGCCCGTGTGGGTAGGCCGTCCCTCCGAGCCGGGCGCCGCCGAGTCAGACCGGCCCCGGGGCCGGCAGGGCTGACTCCCCCCTTACCTTCCTTTCAGCCCCGAAGCACAGGGCGTGATCAGCGGGGCCGTTTTCCTGATCATCCTCTTCTGTTTCATCCCTGTGCCCTTCCTGACGTGCTTCGTGGAGGAGCAGTGTGCGGCCTTTCCTTACGACGAGGTGAGGCTTGCCAGGCGCTGGCAGCGCACCGGGCACCGGCAGGCAGCGACCACTGGTAATGGGTGACCTCTTCTCTGTCCTGCAGTTCGTGGAGCTCATCGGTTCACTCCTCGCCATCTGCTGCATGATCTTCCTGGGCTTTGCAGATGATGTCCTGAACCTGCGCTGGCGTCACAAGCTCCTTCTTCCTACCATGGCTTCCCTCCCACTGCTCATGGTTTACTTCACCAACTTTGGGAACACAACCATCGTCGTGCCCAAGCCCTTCCAGGTGCTGCTGGGCATGCGCTTGGACCTGGGTAAGTTACGACTCGCCATAAGCCACCATCCAGGCGGTGAGCGGTTGGTGGAAGGGGTTGCCTGGCGGCACTCGGGAACAGACTGCAGCGGGAACAGACAAAGGATTCACTTAAGTAACCGGTGAGAGGGTGCAACTCCACCCTCTAAATATGAGGCTGGACAGAAGATTCAGAAACACAGCATGCATTCAGCCGTGCGTAGTTAGGCATCGCTCTGTTTTCCAGGGTTCTGGCAGTGCGGTCGAGCGCCAGGTGCACACAGCACTCAGCTGCCGGCACCAGCGTGACCGAAGGGCAGAAACAGCGCTACAGTCCGCAGCCATGTCACGACTGTTTTCCGTGGTCGCCGTGTCATACGTACATGTACACACCACGGCTGGCTCATGGGAGAGGGAATGATTTATTTCTAAACTACCACTACCAAAACTCACCGAGATCGCTAGGTAACGGGTTGTCATACAAAGCAGGAAGTTAGAGCTTTAGCAAATTGGACCGGGGCCTGCTTCATCTATGAATACTAAAGTGCTCGGCTTGGTCTGACCTGCAGGTATCCTCTACTACGTGTACATGGGCATGCTAGCAGTGTTCTGCACTAATGCCATCAACATTCTCGCTGGAATTAATGGAATTGAAGCAGGGCAGTCTCTGGTGATAGCAGCTTCCATTATCTTATTCAACATTGTAGAGTTAAACGGTAAGGAAGATAACATACATGTTGGCGGGTGTAAAAAAGGGAGATAGAACCCTTGATTTCAACATCTGGTATTACTAAAACTCAGTCCTGTCTTATCACAAATGCTTTTCTTCTTTTCTTTCTTTTACAGGGGACTATCGAGATGATCACATTTTTTCTCTCTACTTCATGATTCCATTTTTTTTTACCACACTGGGGCTGTTTTACCACAACTGGTAAGAGGACAGACATTCCGAGTTTCTTCAGAAGCATCCTTTCCCTTTCTCCTTTTTCAAACAAAACCACTTACCGATGTGCAGATGGGATGCTGGAGCGTAAACAGGCTTTTTGCTGGAATCAAGAGAATGTAGCATCGATGCACTGGTAGCTTTTCCTTTTATTAGAACAATTCTGGGACGCTGCCTCACCAAAATGCACAGAATATGCTCCCCAGTATGTCTCGTATTCTCTGAAAACCAGGTGGTGGGTCCCAGTCCCACAGTTCATAGCATAAATACCTACCATTGTTTTTACTGTGTAGATCTGCTGCAGTTCCCTCTTGGCCCCTAACTTGCCACGTGGGATTACAGTCAGCGGTGATAAAGTCCTTTTCACAGCGACAGCGCTCATGACAGACCTTTGTTTTTCGCCCCTGTGGATTGCAGGTACCCATCTCGAGTGTTTGTTGGGGACACGTTCTGCTACTTTGCTGGCATGACCTTTGCTGTGGTGGGGATCTTGGGGCACTTCAGCAAAACAATGCTGCTTTTTTTCATCCCGCAAGTGCTCAACTTCCTCTACTCTTTGCCTCAACTCTTCCACGTCATCCCTTGTCCCCGTCACCGGCTGCCGAGGTAATGTACCCGAGTGACCTATAATGGTACGACAGGTTGTACCTTTTATCTCCAGCACCAGCTGAGAAAGGTGGCAGCAGGTGCTCTTTTCAAAAGCCATCGAAGTCCTATAGTTAAAAGTTAACCGGACTCGTTCCGCCAGCTACAGTCAAGTCAGAGTAGAGGTTTCTCAAAGAAGTTAACTTTGCTGACTGCCCCACCCCCCAGATACAGAAGAGTGATTTGTAACAATGATGGAACGAGATTGCTCTCAGGTACGAGACAGAGACATTGATATGGGCTGCTTTTAATGCTGTGGCAGTAGGATCTGCTAAGATTTCATAGCAGCGGACATTCTGTGGCACTATGCCATATGAGCAATTGCCTCTGCAGATGTTAGATTCTTCTATTTTATTTTTAAGACGATACAGCTTTATGCATATTGGGGGGGGCGGGGCGGCGCGGGGGGCATCAGGGAGGAATATCCTCCCAAGTCTGCCCAATCCAAGGCACTAGGTATTGGCAGCTGTTATTAGATGTATCAGTTTATTCCTGCTTTATCTACCCCTGGTTTTCTTTCTCGGCTCAGGTTGGGAGCTCAGTCTGCTTATATAGAGATCTCTCTGTCTCCTTGCTCTATCTGGATGAAAATTTTAATATTTGTTTTAGGCTCAATCCTAGTACAGGAAAGTTGGAGATGAGCTACTCCAAATTCAAAACGAAGAGCCTCTCTGCCCTGGGAACAAATATTCTGAAGGTAATACTCAGAAAACGTTCAAAACCCAGATGCATTTTGGGGCAGCAGTCAAATGGGAAAGCCACAGAATGGGAGGGAGTGCAGGACAACTGGGTTCACAAGTTATTTCCCGGATCACATCCATAAGAAAATACTCTGCTTAGTCCATCGCTATCCCTCACAGTCACTTGATTGTTATTCTGAAAGACTAAGACAACACGTAGCAGCATCCGCAGACCATCATAAGCCTGTCCGCTCTTTTTAGTAAAAGTAGGAGCCAGACTGTAGAGATGGCACAGCAAAAGGGATCTTGAGCAAAACGCTGACGAGCACCAAACATACCTGGTGAAATAGTGTGTGATCTTTCTTTCCCCAGGTGGTCAAGATCTTGCACATAGTGGATGTGAGGAGTGGAACAGATGAAGATGGCGCATACACAGAGTGCAATAATATGACACTTATTAACTTTGTTATAAAGCTGATCGGACCCATCCATGAGCGAAATCTCACTCTCCTGTTGCTACTCATTCAGGTCAGACAAATGGTTCCTCCAGTAGAAAGCTGTGCTCTGCAATAGAAACAGATCCAAATTGGTCTCAAGATCACATTTCAGGGTAAAAGGGGGAAGTACCACGCTCTTCACATAAGATGCAGTTGAGCTGTGGAACTTGAGGCGAATCAGAGGTTTACACGGCTCAAGGAGGAAACAGATTCTTCCCTCCACCCCCTTCGTTGAGAGGTAACGAATGCAAAGTCCCTAGGTTAGCTTAAGACAGTTCCTGAGCCCAGGACTGTCAGATGCTAGAAAAACATTAGGAAAGCAGAATTCCTCATCGCTCTGACCCAATACAGCCTTTTTCCACATTCCTGTTTTTCAGTCCTACCAAATAACAGGGTCCTGGAGTTATCCCTGCCCAGCGGACAAGTGTGGCACGCTGCCTGGCGATATCTGGAATCTGAGCGGGGTACACGAGCATGTTGAAGCAACTTAGAACACAAGATAATGCTGCTAACTGTTCAGCACGTGAACTCTTGTGCCTAACATAGCAGTGTTTCTGATCTTCCTCATAGCAGGAGGAAGGACGTCCAACAAATCAACCTGGAGACCAAAGAGGGCCTAGGCACACTATGCTGGGGGTGGGAGAGGATGGGAAGTACATACCACTTGATCTTGAGCACAGTCACAGCAGAGAAGTTGTGACAGCACCTTCTCACAAGGATGCCAAACTCCAGCTTTGACATAAGGTATTTTCCATTACAAATCACAGGGTTTACGTTAGTCTCCTTCAGAAGGAAAGAGCTGTTCCCAAGCATTGATCTCATCCGCTTATTCTCATACTGATGTGGCTCGTGTGCAAGCGCACACAGAAATCCCCTGCGGATAGCAGCGATTCTCAGAGAAAGAGCCAAGAGCAGTGGCTAGACTACCACCTTTTGTCTTTTTATACTTAAAAAAACGTAGCCTAAGTGTTGTTATTTAGTGAAACGGGGCATGCTGGAAAGCATAGCGAAACTATCTGGAAAGGAACCTGCCAGCCTGCATTTATGATGTTTGCATTGTCTGTCTGATTTTTACTTAGGTCCTGGGCAGCGCGATTGCATTTTCAATCCGGTACCAACTAGTGCGATTGTTTTATGATGTCTGACCGGGCTGTCAGGAGCAGGGGAGAGTTTTGCCTGCTTGTCAATTCTCTCTAATCGCTGACTAAACGATTCAACTGATCTTGCTCCAGCCTCCCAAGAACCTCAGGACACCTGTCAAAATACAAGCAACTACTCCGTGGGCCAGTCTTGAACCATAATCATCTTTTTTTTTTTTTGTACACAGAAGGATTTTGTCCAGTTCTGCTGGCACAAAAGATTCACTGCTAGTTGGACATCATTGTTACTGGGAATACCTTTCAGAGGGGAAGTAAATGGCCCAAATGTTTCCTCACAGCACTAAGGGAAAGGGGGAAAGGTGAAATCTCTATACGTCTAACAAGTATGTTACTGTTCCCCAAGAAAGAAAACAGGAACTTCAATTTCTGTGAGACTGTATAGCAGAACAAGTAAACCAGAATCTTCTCATGACTTCTCCAATCCTATCTTCGGTCCACAGACAGAGTGACATGTTATGAACCATACCCAAAACTCAGAGTGCTCTGAGAATAAAACAACTCATGCTACCCTTCCCCTTCAGTGCTTTGCCTCGAGAATATTAACTCACAGTGAAACAAGGTCACACGATATATCTCCGTGGCTTTCTACCCTGCTAGCAGGCAGGTGATTTCTGTCCCTCCTCTTCCGCAGCTACCAGGAACGTTCCCACTGAAGGGTGCTTATTTCTGAATGTCTTTATTGTCTGCCTTCCTTTGTGGAACAGGACACGTCTGGAATGGGTTAGCAGAGTAAGGATTGCTGTGTCCTTACAGAACAAGAGGACATCAGTGAAAGACTTAGATTAATGTGGAATTAAGACCCTGCAGGCTGCAATTATCTTTTCCTCAAATACAAATTGTTATTTACATAGCACCATAGTTAACCACAGAATTGCTACCTACCTGACAGAAAAAACATGTTAATTGCACACATTTAACAGGAGTGAAAAGAGAAACAGAGCAACAGCAAAGACAGGGATGCTGAGATGCGCGATGCTAGAAGTTGTCAAGTGAGGTAGCTTTATAGATGTGAGGCTGCTGCCCCTCCACGCACCTGAGTCCAGCAAGTTGTGAGGCTGGGAATGTATTTCCAGTAGGCAAAAATGCATATGTCGTGACACCATGCAGCACTAAAACGTAAATGGTACAAGGAGCTGAATCCTCTTCCTCCTCCCCAGCTGATCAGTGTGGAAGTCTGCTAGGAGAGTACATTAGTATAAACAATCCGTGTACATACATGCAAACATGAATGCCTTCAATAGCTGGCCTTAAACACTTGGTCCATCCAGTAAGTAGCCACCAGATTTCCTGGCACTGGGGCATATGAACACGAGGTTCACAGTAGTACTCTACTTGCTCATAATGAAATCATCTCACCTAGACAGGAAGAGAGAAAATTTAATCTGTCTGCTGGCTTATCTAGACATAGGCCTTCCAGTAAGTAACTCTCAGATGCATGCCTGTTTTCTTACATAAACTGGCTTAGACCTACCTCCAGTAAGCAACACACAGATGCCAATCTTTTCCTGTATCTGGTCCCGGATGCCTGGCTCCAAAGCCCAATAGTATGGGCCTGCTCATTAGCATAGTGCATTTGCTCGTGATCACACACACTGGCATTCCACAGGGCCCCCCACCACACACGCTCCAGTCTTCCCGTTTGCTGGTTCCACATACATACTGGCCCCTTTGACATATGGCCTTATGCCAGTTGCTGGCACTTAGACCCCCAGACATACTTCACACCCAAGGCAGATAGTCCCCTCACCCTGGAAGAAAAGTAGAAATGGTATTTAGTAGGACAGGATGGACTGAAGAGATTAGAAAGGCTACCAATCAGCAGCATGTTCACACCCGCCCCCCTTCACCCTGCTTATCTTTCCCTGTTCTCACATTTTTTTGTCCCAGTCCACTTGGACTCCTTCCCCACCTTTGGTGCTTCCCTTAAGCAACCCGTAGTACATCATCTCACACATTCCCACAGTCGCCTAAAAAGGATCACACAGTAGATTCTACACAGCCCCAAAGGCTCTTCCCCCATATGCCACTGTAGGCCCAATACCTCTAACAGACAGGGATCCCCATTGGGGATCTGCTCAGCCCCTCCTCAGAAGAGCAGTCCAGGCAGGGCGGCATCACGCCAGTTCGCTCATCAGGGCGCCCCATCTATTGTCACTCCTCCAGCCCTTTGGGTTACGAAGACCAGCCCTTACTCACATAACCTGGGAGGTGAGGCAGTCAGGGCTCCTGACACAGAACACATCTGGAAGCGTCAGCACCTGCTGTCAGGACCACCGCTCCTGCGGTCGGTGCTGTGGCTGCCCACGGTGGACGGGAAGCGCCAACAGCCGGCTCGTCACGAGGACCGCTGGCAGAGGCCTGCCCGGGCCCTCCGCTGACAG